AAAAAAAAAAAAAATGGACCCGGATAAGGCCCGTAATGCCACGGTGCCGCTTCTCGAAACCGGCAACTTACGGGCGGGGACCGGGATGACGGATGTTGATATATAGGCATCAATTATAGTCCTTTTCTCTTCATTCAGTGGAGAAAAAAAAAAGTAAAATTATTTATTTTTCTCAAAAAATTCAGCAATTTGTTCAGGCGTTGGCTTTGTTCACACTTGGAGTATTTACCTGGGCTCAAAACATGTTCTATATATTAAGAAATTTGAAGCTTTATGTGTTATTTTTTTGTTCACCTGCAAATCTTCAACACCCTGCAGTTCGTGATGTTCACTAATGTCCTTTCCTGAAACAAAATGTGCGATGTTCACTGATGTCCTTTCCTGAAACAAAATGTGAATAAGAATCTGCATAAAAATAAAGTGTCAAAGAATTTTTAAAATTATAAACGACGTAGATTAATTAAAACAGAAAATTAATGTTATGTATGGAATGGAAATAAATTACATAATTATTATATTTGAACTCTAGTATTGAGGGAGTCTATGAAAAGTTTGTTTTTTAATCTAGTATTAAATTAAATAGTTGGCGACGTGGGTTATTAATAGGTTGGAAGTTAGTTCAGGTAACACACGATACTTCGTGGCTATCATTAGATATTAGATATGATGATTAATATTTGAAGTTCTTTTTTTTAATCAGTGCATGCTTATCTAAAAAGCAGGAAATTAGATAACTCTTTATAATTGTTTATTCTTTATTCTTTATAATAATTTAACGAATCTAAATATTATTAACTTAATGAGTTCATGTATTATCTCTATGTGAATAGAAAAAAAAGACAGGTTAACAACGAATAGCCAAAATTTTTTTCACAATGTTCATTCCAACCCATAAAAGACGCGTTCTTTGTTGGATCAATCACTTCAAATTGAAGTGAAAACAACAATAATAATTATTTATAAACTAATAATTAATATTATTAATTATATTATTTTTAAAAATAATTTAATAAATTTCTAAAAATGAATTTAAAACTAACTTCAAACCATCGTTAAAATGTGGTAACATTTTTTACAATAAAATCTTTTCGGGCCGAAGTTAATTTTGTGGGACATTTGCGACATGATTGGTACCAATGAAATACTTTATTTTATTTAAATATTTTTTTAAATATACTGATTTATGATACTCGATAACTATTCTAACTTGGAGATCTACAATTAACTTATAAACATTTCATCAGTATAATAAATTATTGACAAACATATCATTATTGTTATTATACAATTAAAATTCCAACATTTACTTATTAAACTTTTTTTAAACAATTGTTTAAAGTTTATAAGTTGTTTGATCTTAAATTTTCTACATACGAATTATATCTAATGATAGTAAAATTAGATATGAAATGTTTGAAAAATATCCATAATGAATTACACACAAACATTGTTCATAATTTTCTTTATTCTTTAAAGAAAATAAAGTAGAATTTTTTTGTTTCATTATCTATAAGTTTGATCAATACAAAACATATGACTATGATTAAATTAATCTATTAAATTAATGAGTATATATATATATATGGATAGATATATAAAGATTTATAATTACAATTACTAATAAAAGTTTGTGGAGTAAAAATTTTGATTCGAGAATAAATAAAGAGAGAACAACCGATATACTAATAGCAAATACTAATACCATTTCAATATAAGTAGAAACAAACAAATTCCTACTTCAAATAAACCAAGTCCTAGATTACTTAAAGTTTAAATTGAAACAAACCACGTCCTAGATTATTTAAAATAAAAAATAAAACATCGATTAATAATCTGATACGAAATTAAAATTAAAGAGAATCCCAAACACAATAGCTATTTCAAACGTCTTCCATATCGGCGTTTTCCTCATCAACAACTTCATTCTCTCCTTCAACAGTTTTTTCCTCAACTTCATTGTCTCTCTCATCTGATTTTTCAGCATCATGTAACTTTCCCTTTTTTTGTGTTGTTGAACTCGATTCTCCAAACAACTTTCTTTTGCAGTAGTACTTCAAAGGCGTTTCATCTGCTGCATTTTTTTTATCGAAGAGGTCCTTATCGGGTGAATTGACTTCATCCTCATCCTCATACTTGTTGTCTTCGTCATTCTCATCCACTCCCTAGTAAATTGCGATAGATAATTATTTATCTTAATTGTAGAACAAAGGAATAATAATAATGTGAGATAATTTAAAATAGTGAAATAAACCTACGTAGTCAAGCTCCTTTTCTGCTTCTGCCCGCACCAGTTTGGACATCAAATCTGATTCTTGTAAACAAATGATACACATAAATCATGAAAATAAATGGATATGTATAAATTATTTTATATTATATATTATATTAATTACTAATTTAAATAAAAAATATAACAATTGTTACCTGACTTTCAATAAGAAAAGTTCCATACTTCCCAACAGCTTCAGCATCATCGCAAGTTTTGAAAACTGAAAAAGAACCATCGAAATTCTTTATTTGAGTTGACTTCACCTGGACCTTGAACAGTATTTTTTTGCCTATCATTGCTGCCAGCTCATCAGGGATATCGATTCCATCTTGCATCTGGAAGATAAAAACAATAATTGTACTGCAATTATATTTACTGTATAATTAAAATAAAATAAATATTTATTTTAATTTAATATTTAATATACCTTTGTGTATTTGGAACGCAATTCATGACACGAATAGCCAAGCAATTTTTCACAATCTTTATTCCAACAAATAAAAGACGTGTTCCCTGTTGCATCACTCACTTCAAATTGAACCTTGTACCTATGAGGACAACAATTATTTAAGAATTATAATTAAAATTATTTAATTATATTATTTTTAAAAAACTAAATTTAGTAAATTTTTAAAAATTAATTTAAAACTTACTTCAAAACACCATCGTCAAAAAAGTCGTCACATTTTTCACAATAAAATCTTTTCCCGGCCGATGTTAATTTTTTGGGACATTTGCGACATGATTGGTACCAGTAGTCACCAGTGAACGATTCAATGAGCGCGCAGATCCAATAACTACCAACCTGTATTGTTATCAGTATATTTGCACTATATATATATATATATAATAACTTTTTGTTTACTTACTTGACCACAAGTGTAAAGGTAGTCGTCGATAGTCTTGACTGAAAATTCAAAGTTGTTTTCTGTTTCCACATTGTCAGTAATAACCAGCGGAGCATTGACTTCTCGTATTGAATTCGCAATTTCAGCACAACCTCCATAACTTCAACATTATATAAAAAAATAAAAATATAGAAAAGACAATACACAATAACCAATTAAAATAAAAATGAAATTATTCATATATTGACATCAATAATCAATAATAAATAATAAATGATATGTGAATTGTATAAACAACTCACGCTGCAACAAACTCTTTTATCTCATCTGCAGACTGATCGACAATTAACTTTGTGATATCAAAGGTGTTTGAAACCTTGACTGATGCTGCAAATAGTAAAAAATAAAAAATAAAAAAAATCAAACTTTTATTTAGAAATGAAAAAAATTAAAAGATAATAGTAAATACAAACAAATTAGTAGTATTAAATTTACCTCCAACAACTTTGGCGCGACAAAATTGTAAAATAACCACAAGAGGTTCGATATCACGGTTTAGTATGGATGGCATTATTTCATCAACCTTTTCTTCCCACAATGTGCAAGATAGTTTGTTTCGACTGCAAAATATAAAATAAAACAAATAAATAAAAATGATGTACAAAATTTAAATTAAAATAAATAAAAATTTAAATGAAAAGCAAGTTACAAAATACCAAAATTGTATTGTTATTGTTATATAAAAAATTAAACGAAAACAACAGCAAAAGAGGAACATCTGATATATATATATATATATATATATATATATAA